GCTTGACTTTCACTCCGGAGACTGGAGTTTGTTTCCCGTGTGAAACGTCAACATTGATTCCTTTTAGTGATGTTACTTAACTTTCGTAATTTAAGTAACATTAGTAACGTAAGTAACGTAGTTATTTTAAGCCAAAGCACGATCTTTTCCTAAACCTAACCAGACTGTGACGTTTCACAACGTTAACCACTGGTTTCCTTTGAAAGTCTAACCAGACATCAGGTGGTTAGTCTTGCTAACTTGACCGCGTAGCCATACACACGCTAAAGCAACACTACAGGGTTCCCTGGGAAATGAAAAGCAACACCTACATATGTGATGAGACGCTTTGTGCTTTAAGAGGTTTTATACCTCCAGAGAACTTCTAGAAAAACCAGAGCAGGCTTCTTGTTGAGACCTGCCGTGTAGTGACGCCAGTAAGAGGGACAGGCCTCTAACTGGGACCGGGCTTCTAACTGAAGTTTTAGGGGACGTCCATTTTGCCTCCAGGTGGCTAAAAGATTTAATAAATGCAGGTTTAAATTATTCCCATCAAATGTGACTGAAATGAAGTGTGTTTTGTCCTGATCAATACAGACAAACAATTAAGCAAGCAGGACTGAAACTATACTGTTTGAGAAAGATGACCGTAAGCAGAAAGAGATACACGGAACTTGTTATTTCAGCTATAGGATTTCAGAAACATGAGAAATCGATCCTGACGTGCAGTGTTTCTGGGCTTGAAGCTACATATCACCCTGAGCTGTGATTTGGGATCAAACAGTCCCCCTTGTTTGTGGCGAGGCAGAGGTCACTACTGATGCTATCGATCCTCATCAAAGTGGGATAATTAATGATCGCATCCCTGCTAATTTATCTGACAGGAGTCCTGCCTGCCTCCCTGAAGAGAGAAAATCATTGACTCTACCAGCAGTGTCAGAGAGATCCTTCAGAATTCCCTCTGATGCACTTACTGCAGAGTAGCTGTCAGTATTTTTAATAGGCCTATCCATGCATGCTCCAGTGTTTCAGGGTGATGCATTAAGATAAAGATGGGGGCCACTGATTTGTTGAGCGCACCTTTACGGAGCCTACCTGTACTCTTTCCACCACCACACGTTACAGATGCCCTTATTCGCTGCTCCCTATCTCTCTCACTCACTCCATCTCTGAAAGCACATTAATCATTGCAGACTCCCACATGCTTTCACCTCTACCTCCTCCCCGCCCATTTTCTCCTACTCCTCCGGTTCTCTTCCTCCGGTGCTGGAGGCAAGTAGGTCACCGGCAACTGGAGGACTGTTTTCTCTGGCTGGTCGAGGGAAAGAGAAAGAGAGAGCTGAAGGCTGCAGGAGCGAAACCAGATGCAGGTTTACAACACGATGGCTTCTTTTATTAGAACCGAGTCTTGAGTGATTTCCTCCAGAAAGCACGAGATCCACGTCAGTGTGAAGAGTACAATTGTGCAGCGCAGGTGTATAAAGAGGAAAATAGATGATTCAAACCCTGTCAGCAGCAAAAAGAAGTCTTATCTTGGACTGTGGCACATTTTCACAGGCAGGAAAAAAGATAAAACTGACTGAACGTGGTCATAGGCGAGAGGAAAATGTGACTGTTCAGTAATGAAAAATGAACGTTAAGGCAAAGATGTAATTCTCCTTTGATCAGTGACCACAGGGCTTTTACAGAGAAAAGAAAAGCAGCTGAAGATCGAAGAGACACTGGTTTCCAGAGGACGGTCTCCCTCTCTACGTCTCTGCCCCTCATTATATCAGATGAGATCATAAAAGAGAGAAAAGGGGAATTTCTTCCTGAAAGGTTTTTGAAGACTGACCATTGAGGAGGCAGGACGTCATCTGTTGCAGCTGCAGCTGGAATAACAAAAAAAAGAATGGAAAATGGGATGAGATGCAGTAGGAGCCCACCTCTCCCATTCATTCATGTCAGAAAACAGTAAAACCCCCCCTGCAGTTTTACAGCTGTGTGGTTTGTGGTTCTGGTATTTAATGAGTAGACGTTGTCATCTACTGGCTTCATGAGCACATTACATGAAACACATCCTGTAATAATGCAGCACCTGTCTGTGGTGAGAAGTCACTCAGTAATCCAAAATACAATATATTTAATAAATATAAATATATGTGTGATAATATAAACCTCTGAAAAAGGTTTGTGCTTTTATTTATTGATATATAAATACACTTGCTGCTAATGCTTTTGTACTTTCATTTCATTTCAAGCATTTGGACATTTACTTGTAATGCAGTATTTTTTTTTACATTGTGTTATTTTTATTTTTAGCTCTAAGTAAATGATCTGAGTACTTCCTTTCACCGCTGTCCTCTGTACAACAACATCACATACATGTCGGATAAAATAACAAATGAATGTAATCAAATCAGTATAACTTAACGTAGGTAGTATGTATTGCAGTTGATTCCATTATATCACACAGGTGTAACAGGTGTTCTTGCATCCACTTGCCAAATAATGCACATGAAGGACGTTTGAAATAAAACAATGAAACAACACTGTTTGTTATCTGCATTATTCAGTATACTTGTGTCCTTCTGCTGACGAAGATCATGTGATATTATTAAGAGCTCCAGAAAAGCTAATAAACGGACCTCGTGGTGAGATTGTAGTTTTGTCTGCTGTCTCAATAATGTTCTTTGAACCTCAACTTTGCACGAGCAGCTTAAAGTATATAAACGTTAACAGCAACAATTCCTGAACAACTGGGCAAACAAGATCTGCTGATGAGGATCGAAATCTCCAAAACAAAATGGACTTTCACAGTTTAATCTTGTGACCACTGAAACTTAAAAGGATTTTAATTTGAATGACATATTTTAGCCTCTAATGCTATTTGATTTTCTATCAGTAGCTATTTGTTTTGATTTATCTGCATTGTCATGATGTTTTCCACAAAAAAGAAAGTAATCTAGATCCTTGTGCTTCTCTCCTGTGCACATTTTTTCTTGTGCAGTCCACCAGTGGAGGCCTGCATGTAGCTTCTATTATAAGAAAAGATCTCCTGAAACTTTAATGAGCCCTGTGAGGAAACGCAGTCATTTGCTGCAGTAGATAATAACGCCAAGTGAAAAGGAAATAAAAGAATATAACAGAGTGTGGTCTTCAAAAGCCAGCCGTTTCTCTGGAGATGAGCTGCAGCATTTCCAGCGTTTAGAAACACGTGGCACTTCAGAAGCAGCCCGCCAGGAATTCCCTTTCTTCGTCTTTTTTATTCTTAGAAATGTATTTTATTATACGTTAAGTGTGAAAGTGCAGAACCCAAAAGAAGCTTTTTTTAAACCCCAACTGTATGATGGTACTTCAAAGAGGTCCGGCCTCCTCTGCAGTCACTGAGTGTGACTGCCTGTTCTGTGGGTCTAAAAAGAATCCTTTCCTCTGTGACGGCCACCGACACCGAAACCTGAATAATTCTTCTGTATCAGCATCATGTGACAAAAACTCCACCATGCACAAAATGCCAGATGCAGTGTCGATATTACTTTAGCATTTAAACATTTAAATATTTTAAGGAAGACTATTGCTACACTAACTCCACAAGTATTACTGGTTCATCCATTTTACAATTTCTAATAACAATGAAATGTCATCATTACTCTGCAGGCAGTGTATGCAGACGCCTTTATGTTTTGGACCCTTGTGTTACAGATTTAATGTTTGTAATCTTTTAGGCAAATAATTCTACACACAAGAACTCAGCAACAAAGGGGACAGTCATTTTCACCACTCAGACATTTAGAAACTGATCTTGAAGCCAGTGTTTGTCGTACTAAAAGTTTTTGCCTTTTGCCTCACTGGAGACTTTAAAGTCTATTTATGTTTTCAGTCCTTGAACTGCCTTTTGGCAAACTCAGGTGTGACTTCCAAAGCCACCCTACCATACAGGTCTGACTGACTGTTCCAGGGTCTGCTGGGTTCTTGGTCATCTCCCTGATGGACGCCCTTCTTGCCCAGTAACTGAGTTTGGCTGAGGTGTATGGAGGCTTCCTACTTCCAAGCCATGCGAGCACTGCGGCTACAGCTTTGCCAATGTTGGTCCATCGGTCTGTCCACACGTTGGTCCTGCTGGATGGGTTGAAATTAAATTGTGTGCAAACATTCATGGTCCCCACGTGATAAATCCCAGTTTTTAGCAACTTTTAATCTAACGCCACAGACACATTGATAGCCATGAAATTACCTTTTTGTCCAACACTTTGGTTTAACCAATGGCATCAGCCTCAGCTGTACTTTCCTGCGTAGGTCTAATTAGCATTTGTTTGCATTCTAACATACCAAACTAAGATGGTGAACGTGGTAAAGATTATACTGCATGCTGGCATTAGCCTTGCAGAGCATTTAGTGGAACATGAGCTGTAAATCGTGGGCCCTTGTATACGCAGGTGTGTGGCTTTCTAAATCATGTCCAATCACCTGAATTGCTTGTTTAAAGCCAACAGTCTTCATTACATTTCTTCATTTAGCTTTTATCCAAAGCGACTTACAGCTGCTGTACATGTCAGAGGCCTCTGGAGCAACGAGGGGTTCAGGGTCTTGCTCAGGGACACATTGGTGCATGGGTCACAGTGGGGGATTGAACCTGGGTCTCTCACACCAAAGGCAGGCGTCTTATCCACTGTTCCATCGCCACCCCACTTGACCTAAATTGGAATGACATCGCAAAGGACAAGAGATTGATTTTTAATAGTTCAATCATTCCAGGTTATTGTGAGTAGACCTCAAATCTAAATCTAATCTATTTCAAATAGAATCTATAACACAATAAAGTGAGAGAAAAGTGAAGCGTGTCTAAATACCTTCTGAAGCGGCTTTACGGGGTCTCCTACAGGAACAGCTCTGAGCGAACGCGCCATCATAATAATTCAGTTTTTTCTTTCAGATGAAGTTCATTCGATGAATCAATCTGACAGTGGGTTAGGGTTAGACCCTCTGACCCTGGACTGATGGCACCACAGACTGCTGGTAAAATACACATCATCTGGGCAAAATGAGGAAACGTTCAATCCACTTTATTAAATTTCTTTTGAGATGGTGAAAGGTGAACTGCAAAGGTTCACCTCTGACACAGTATTGCACAAGTTTAGCCTAATGTCATCAAAAGGCCAACAGCATCACTATCTCTGAAAATAGAGGCAGTAGAGAAAATATGCCCTCTGAACATTTTTCAGTAGTTAACCTTTCTCATAAATAGATTCAGTTCATTGTTTTGTCCATCAATCACACCTTTATGTACAGATCATCAGGACAATGTACCACAAACTCATCAGCCACCGTGTATTTCTACTAAACTGGATCAATTAACAAGCCAGAAAGCACATTTTTCCATTTTCTTGTCAAGTGACGTCCTTTTGTGGAGACCCCATCTCTATCAGTCACATTTTCAAACTCTAAACAATCATGTACAGTGATCAAACATCAGGCAGAGCATAGAAATGTATATATACATACATACAGTCCATAACAGATCCTGCACAGGATACCCTCTGAGGATGCACACATAAATAGAGAAACACTTTAAATACATACACTATGTACTTTCATATCCTCTGCTTTCTCTTTTGCAGTCCATTTTTAATGGTAAACCATGATCCCGGAGTAATATTTAAGGATGTTTCGAAACCACTGTCTCTGGAGACACGAGAGCACGTCTTCACACGGCCAAGGCAAGAACACAAACACCTTTGGCTTTACAGTTAAAGGGAGCAGGAGGGAGCGGGAGAGGTGTAGTGCTTTTGAGCTTATATGAGATGATTACATACACATTTGGAGTTTCAGTGCATAGTTTTAACTCAGCATCACGATTATGTGCAAGGTCTTAAACCAGGCAGGCAAGAAAGCAGCAGCTGGTGCTGATATATGTGATTTGGATGTAAAGCAAACAGATACAGACAGATGGGGGTGTTTGTTCCCAGCTCAGGGGAGGGCAACAAGGTGGCCAGGAGATGAGATTCAAAACAAGATTTATACAGTAGTGTTCACCACGAACGGATATGGCTTTCTGCACCTTCTTAGGCTTTTACATAAGAGTAACACCGAACTTTCTTTCCATGCCTGCTTTCTAATTTGGATCTGAAAACAACAAACTGGAAGCAACACGCCTCAATAATGAAGGAACCCACCTGCTTCTTTTCACAAAGAACAGCAAGAAAGGAAAAGAGACTCTTGCTTTAAGGCTCGATTTACCATATAAAGGAAGGGAAAAAGCTAAACTCACTGTGTTCAGTCAGAAAACAACAGATTAATAAAAATGACATTACATTTTGTAAAGTCCAGCAGAAATATTTAACTTTTAACATGTCAGTTGTCTCACTGTTCATTTAGCAGAATGTAATGTCATCGACTGAGCAGGCCACTTTATTTACTGTCATTAACGACGACAGCATGGAGAGTCTCTCCAGCCACTGCACATGGGCCCCTTTAGTGTTTCACCACGCTTTACAATACAAACAGAACACTAAAATGCTGTACTAGCTAAAAAAAAACCAAACCTGGAGCCAATTTGTGTAACTTCCCAGTGTGACCTTGCTACAGGGCACCAGTGAGGCACATGAGAACAAGCATGTGTATTGTGAGCAAGTAGGCCAGAAAGAAATATCGAGAGCGGGCGCGACTCGTCAGCAGCCTGGAGAAGTAGAGGCTCCTCCCTCTGAGCCACCGTCGACACGCCACCATCCCACCTTTCACCTGCAGGCACACACACATCACACAGTCAGGTAAGCAGACCCCCACTCATAATGTGTTACTGCTCTGTTGGGATTTCAGAAAGCATGAACACATGAGGACATTAACTGGACAAGTAAGGCGACACGAATAAAATGACCTTTCGTGTTATTAGAGGCTGGTTCGGGTTGAGACTGAGAGCTTCCCACTCCTCCTCCGTTTCCATCTCGATACTGAAGTCCCTCTGAGTGTCTCTGGACAGACCGGAACCAACACTGCGAAACAAAAACATTTTACACAGTTCTGCGCCGTTCCATATGCGTGTGTGTGACCGACCAGTGAGTTTGGGTCTCACCTCTTTGCGTTGTCTTCAGCGAGACGCAGAGCCTCCTCGGCGGTCTCTCTCCTGGCCCGCTCATCTGCTAGACTCTGCTCCACCTCGAGCAGCCTGAACACACACAAACATGTTAATACATCCATGAGCTCCACCAATTATATATCAGAACATGTAAGACAACGTATACAGTGTTTCAGGAAAAACTACACAGAGGAAGAGGCAGGTCTCGTCTCCTCACCTTTCTCGCAGCTGACTGGCTTCAGCAGTTTCAGAAATGGTGGACTTGTTGCTCCTCTCCTGGGGGGCTCCAGGTGCAACCTCAGCATACACTGACCCCTGGTGGTGGGGATACAGCATCACAGGTAAATAGTTATAGCATGTTTTCATAGTCTGACAGTAGAGAGAAGCTGGAAACAAAGGGAGAGACGGAGGGAGAGACGGAGGGAGAGACGGAGGGAGAGACGGAGGGAGATGAGATGCTGCAAAGACCCCCCGGCAGAGCTGGATCAGGGAAGTCAGGCAGACGAAACTTTCAGGGGGTTTTCCCTGAATCAGATCTTTATTTAGCAGTTCAAAAACATTTTGAAGATAATAAAACAGAAATGCTGCATCCAAAGTCTCTGAAGTGACTAACTCACACAGTAAAGTCATATACAATAGATTCAGCGCTACAGACTCCTAAATTCAAATACACCATTGGCGGTTATGTTGGCACCCTGCAACCTAATGAACTATCAGGGGAATCCAGCTTTAGTTTATGAGGGCAAAACTATTATAAGTGTAAAAGAACACTGTCTACATAAGCAGAACAGACAAGACTTTTTTTTACCTGAGCCTGGACCTGGACCTGGCTTTCCAGCCAGTGGCAGCGATTCTGGGTGTCCCTCAGGGTTTGGGAAACGGCCCTCAGCTGAGCTGCTACCGCACCTTTCTCCTCCACTACCTGCTGCAGCTGAAGGGGGGGGGTGTTCAAGGGAAATTTAAGCATACACGGTGATGCAGCATCTATTTTTTAAATCCTCAAACAAATGCTCACGTTCTTATTTTTCAGAGGTTCCATCTTTTGTAAAAAATAAAATAAAAGCAATAATCAAGGTATAGACATGTGACGTCATCAGACCTTTAGCATCATAAGTTTAATGCACAGCTTGCCTACACTCCGTCTGCATCTACACCACCACTGTTTTAGCTGCACACTCAGACGTGTTTGTTTCAGCAATGCTCAGCTGTTCCAGACCTTAGTGTTGAGTTGCTGGAAGTACTGGTCTCGTTGTTGGATCTCATACATGCAGCGCTGCAGGTCACTGTGGAGCTGGATTCTTTCAGCCTCCAACAGACTCACCGCCTCGTCCACTCTGCTCTGACCAGCCAAAACAACTGTTTCCTGTTTGAAGAAAAATGAGATGAAAGCCTGAACAACGATTTTGTTTTACAAAAATGAAACCTGCCTGAAAACCGATTATAAGTCACCTTGGCAGGCAGCGTGTCCTTCCTCTCTGTGTCAGACCTACATAACAGAAAACCCTTTAGTATCATAAGCAAAATATTACATTTCTCATTGAACACAAGGCAACACACCACAAGGGGTCGGCGAGTTACTCTTTAAGAACAAAACACTTGAAAGTTCAGTTGAATTTCTCTCTACTGATCTTCAGTCTGCCTTTACCTCAGATCTGCAGTTTCCTCCTGGTAGCTGCCGATTTCTTTTTCAGGTGGCACTCTGTTTGCAGAAGTCTGCATCTTCTTCACGGTTTGCTGCAGTTCATCCGACTTCTCCTGCAATAACACCAAAAAGAAGAAAGCCGTCAGTCACAAAGACAAAACAATAGAACCTGCATAAAATGCTAGCAAACAGAACCTGACAGACACCAGAACATGTACATTCCAACAAAAGAATACCATGCATGTCAAAGCCATGGCAATACAGTAAAATAAATAAAAACCTAACTTGACCCTGCATGCTTTCCACCAAATGAAACCCAGCAAAGAGAGGAAGTGCAAGCAACAGCCAAACTCAAATCACAGCCGATGACTTGACTCACCAGCCCTTCTTTCTCTTTCCGGAGGGCACCGACGCCACTTCCCTTTGACTTTTCCAAACTCGTAGAGGTGACAGTCTCTGGGCTTGACCCTTGCCTGGACTCAACCGCTCTTTTGGACCCGCTCAACTCATCAATCATCTGTCACGGTCATTTTGGAGGCTGGCCATGGATCTGGAGAACGCCGACAGCTGCCTGCTGTACGTGCTGTTCTCCTGGACCACCTGCTTCAGTTCCCTTTCCTTCTCTGACAAAGCCTTCGACAGCTCATCCAACAACTTGTTCAGCTCTGCGTGCGCGTCTTTGCTTTCTAAAGCGTTTACTTTATGGACAAGGACGTCCCTCTCTTTGGCTAACATCGCCATGTCAGAGTTGGCATCCCGCAGACTTCGCTCCACCTTGTTCAAGGCTGCCTGAGATTCTCGGAGTTCTTCTTCATATCCGTTTCTCAGGATCTTGAAGTCTTCAATAAGCTGATCTCGGTCATTCTGCAGCGCGGCCATGGCTTTGCACAGGGACTCGTTTTGAGCACGGATGTCTTTGCTTTGTGTTTTGGCCTCTGATAACTGCTGTTCCATTTCGAGTAGGTCTTTAGCGAGCGCTGCCACCCTCTGATCAGCCGCCTCCCGCTCATTTCTCATCAGCTCCACCTCGCGCTCGAAGGTGTCCAGCTCACTGTTGTATTTGTCCTCAGCCTCAGACAGTTTTTTGTCCGTTTCGTTTTCCAGCAGCTGCAGTTTTTCCTTGAGCTCATCGGTGAGGATTTTCTGAGAAAGAAGTTTTTGCTGGAGGTCATTACATTCAGCTGCTTTGGCTGCCACAGCTTCCTGCAAATCACCAATCACTTTGCCTTCATTTGTCGTGGCTCTCTCCTTTTTTAGAGTTACTATATCAGCTTCCAGTGTTGAGAGCTGAGCTTGAAGTTTAGAAATCTCAGCTTTTAAAGTATTGCTCACCTCTTCTTCCTTTTGGAGCTCCAGCCGAGACTCCCTTTGTTGCTTTTCAGCTGCAGCCTTTTGGTTTTCAAGGTTTTTGATCACATCCTGCTGCTTCTTCAGCAGCGCCTTCAACTGGTTGTCCTTTAGAGATAAAACCTGATTCAAATCCTCTCGGTACCGAATCAGCTGTGCCCTGAGCATAGCATTCTCTGAATTGAGATCATCCATTTGATGTAATAATTTCCTTATTTCATGTTTAAGACCTTTGGTGGCACCACCTTCCCCGTCAGCAGAGCCCTCTTTACCCGTTAGCCCTAACTGACTCTTCGCTTCGAGTATTCTGTATTCTGACATCAGGCGTTCCCGTTCGCTCTGTAAAGACACCATCGAGTTCTTGAATGACTCCATCTTAGCGTCCGTCTGCTCCTTTTCCTGGGTAGACTTGTCAACTTTAATTTGTAGACTTTTGACCTTGGCTTCAAGTCCTCTTAACTCTTTGTCAGCCTTTTGTCTTTGGTAGCGTGAAGATGTTAACCTGTCCTCATACACGGCTACCTGGGTGCGATGATTAGCCTGGAGCTGTTCTAGATATCCTGACATCTGTCCGTCTCTACAGGACAGCAAAGAGGAGATCTCAGCATCTTTACCCTGGAGGAGTGTTTTCAGTTGCAGAGAAATTCCCTCCTGCTTCTCAAAGTCAGCTTGAAGTTTGTCATTTTGAGACTGTAAAAGGAGCAGCTGAGCGTCTGAGTCTGCATTTATCTTCCCCATTTGCTGGAGATTTAGCTGCATCTGGGAAATCACATCTTCTTTGTCAGCAAGCTGTCGGCTCAGTGTGTTTTTATCTTGTTCTATTCTTTCAGCGTGAGCACCGAGTTCCTTTACCTGCACAGTCATGAGCTCCACCGTCTCAGTGAGTTCAGCGTTGCTTGCGCTCATGACAAACAGCTGTCTCTGCTGTGCAGCGGCAGCAACCGAGTATTCATTTAGTGTCCTTTCCAGTCTTGACTTGGTCACTCGTAGTTCACTGACCTCTTTCTCTTTCACTCTCATGTCTTCGAGGAATCGTTTGATCACGAAACCCTGTTCCAGGAGCTGGTTATCCTTCTCGTGTAACGTCTTTTGGTACAAATCGTTCCAGACTTTGGCAGCCTCTGCACCTCGAGGAGTGGCCGATAAAGCAGACACCTTGGCCTCATTAGTCTCTGCTGCTCTTTTTAGAGAGCTCATCTGTAGATTTTGAGCGTCTAGTTGCTGCATCAGTTCATCCACTTTTTGACTTTCTTTATCTTTTAGCTCCTTAAGGTCATCTATCTGTTGCTGCAACACAAACTGATTCTCCATATAAGAATTTAATTGTTGCTTTTCCATATTTTGCAGTGATTTTGTTTTCTCCATCACCTGATCCTCGTGCTTTTTACTTTGCTGTGATATGTCCAGGGCCAGCCGGTCTCTTTCAGACTCAACACTCAAGATCTTTTCTGTGGCCTGCTGGAGGAGATTCTTGTGCGTATTCAGCTCAGCTTCAACTTGGTTATTTTTCTCCTCCAAAGCTGATATTTTCTCAGAGCTTTTCTTCAGTTCTTTCTCAAAGTTTTCACAGACTGACTGCGAGGTCTTCAAAGAGCTCTCTAAATCTAAAATCACTTCCTGGTATTTAATGCAGTTTTGCTGCAGCAGATTTATCTCTTGGTGCTTTTCTTTGAGTAGCTCTTGCAGTTCTTTCTTCACATTCTTGGACCCCTCGTTGCCTCTCTGGACCGTCTTGAGTTTCTCCTCAAACGCTCTGACTAATTTCAGCTGCTCCTCCTCTTTTCTTGACGAACTTGACTACTCATCTCTTTACACGCTGCCAGCTGAGAGGACAGCTGCAGGTTTTGGGTTTGCAAAACAGTGACAGACTCGGTCAGTTCATCAATACTTTCAGAATTTTTAAGGATCACAGTTTCCAAATATTCATTTTCATTTTTCACTTTGTCTGAAATCTCTTGCACATTTTCAAGCTCCTCCTGCAGAAGAGACTTATCGTCCTCCAAGATTCTCACCTTCTCGTTCAGGCTAATCGTCTCTTGGCTGTGTCTGTTAATAATGTCTTTCAGTCCTTTAATGACGTCATCTTTCTTCCCCAACTGTAAGTCATGATCATTCTGTATCTTCTCAATTCTTTCAGAAAGATTTTGCTTCTCCTTTTGTAACAAGTTGCTGATTTCCAACTGAGCGCCGAGTTCTGTTTTCTGGGACTCAATCTGGGCAGTAAGTGAATTATTCAAACTGAGCGCCTCATCGAGCTTAAGCTGCATGTTGTTTGTGTATGTGTTTGATTCCAAGTGCTTCTTTTCCAATGAACAGCTAGTTTCTTCAAGCTTTGCTGCCAAGAGGCTATTTTCAGCCCTCAGTTCAGTCAGCTTCTCCCTGAGATCCTCTGATGTCTCTTTAAGTTTGCGAATCTCAGCCTCCAATTGTTGATTTTTATCGGTCATCTCGCACTTCGCCATTTTGTGGTTTTCTTCCAGCTCGGTCAGATTTTTTCTAATATTCTGGTTCTCTTCCTCCAGCTCCTCAATCTTCTGCCTTTTCTCTTTGGAAAAAGCGTGCACCCTCTCTTTAATTCGGCCATTTTCTTCCTCCATCTCTCTAGCTTGCTTCTCCAGAATCGCCATCTCAGCCTCCTGTTTGTGGATTTTCCGGAGGGCTTCCTGTCTGTCTCTTTTGGCGCCCTCCAAAAGCTGTCTCATCTTATCCATTTCACTGCTTACATTTTCATAAGCTTGTAATAGAGACTCGTACTCTTGTTTCAGCTCAGCGTGCTTTGACTTCCACCTGGAGAGCTCGTCTGTTTCAGAGTCCTTGAGGGATTCAAGCTGGCAGGAGAAAGCTTGTTTCTGCTGCGTGATGTTTTCTATGGTTAGTTTCAAGCTTTCACAGGCTGCTGATAGGCTGCGATTTTCTTTTAAGATACCATCAACTTCGGCGCTGAGCTCGTCTTTCTCCTTCTTTAGAGATGACACGGAACTTTCCAGGTCCATATTTTGTTGTTTCAGCCTCGGCACTGATGATTCCAGAGCAAAATACTCTGCTTCTTTAGCTTTATGTTTGGCTGACAGCTTTTCTGCTTCTTCCTTGAGAGTTGCGTTTTCCTTCAGCAGTTCTTTCCTAGAAACCAAAGCTGCTTGAAGCTTCCTGGTTAGGAGAGAAATTTTGCTTTCCAGATCATTCCTTTTGGTGCCATCTTCCCGAGATTTCTGAAGCTCATCGGCTTCTGTTCTCATCTTCTCAATGGCAACTTCATGGATTTTCATATGCTGCTGTAACTGACGTTCAAGCGCGGCAATTAGTTCTTCTTTTTCTGAAACTTGAGCCTGAGAAACCAACAAGGCGTCATCTCTCTCCTTTAGCTTCACTTCAAGGTTTTCAGCACATTTGCAAGACAAACTGACCCCTCTCTGTTAACATCTTCCGGCCTGATGCACATTTCACGCTTCTCTTGATGTAGCGGCTCATTTACCGTCTCCAGTTGCTTATTCAGAGTGTTAACCTCATCTCTGAGTTCATCGATTATTCTGAAAGCATTTTCTTTTTCTTGTTTTAACAAATCCAACTGCTTTTGTTTTTCAGTGAAATGCAGTTGCGCTTTTTCAAGCTCCTTAGTGAGAACAGCTTTGTCCTCACTGAGCTGCTGCTGTGTTTCTGCTAATGTCTTTTCGATGGTTACAACTTCCAAAGATTTCTGTGACACTAAAGCAGCTGCTGTCTCCAGTTCCACTTTCATCTGATTACTTTGCTCCAAAAGAGCCTTGTTTTCTTGCACCAAAATAAGATATTTTTCTTCATTTGCGTGCTTCAGTTCCTCCAGTGCAGACTCAGAGATTCTTAGCTGGGTCTCCAAAGCGATTTTTTCATTAAATAAATCTTGCTTCTCCTGTTGGGTCTTTAGCTCGGCAACGTTAACGGTCTTTTCAACTTCTTCCGTTTTCTCTTTTACTTCTGCACGAGCTTTCTCCAAGTCATTCTCTACCATGTGAAGTTTTGATTTCAAAGCTTCTGCTCTTTGCTCCATCACTACGCGAGCCTCATCTTTAGTTGCCATCTCAACAGACATGCTCTCAAATTTGGATTTGACATTTTCTAGCTCTGTTTGCAAGTTTGACAGAGAATGGCACTGGCTCTCCTTCTCAGCCAGAGACATTTTCAAATCTTGTAGAGTTGTATCCCTCTCCTTAACAAGCTGTCTTAAAGTGTCCAGTTCATCTAGATCAGACAGAGAGGTTTTACGGAGGTCCTCCAGTTCCCGGACCTTCTCGTCAAGGTTTAACTGGACAGAGTTTAGCTCATTCGTCTGCTGACAGCGTTGTTCTAAGAGAGCCTTGTAGTCGTCTTTCAGTTCAGCCAGTTCTTGACTTAACTTCTTTTCATTTTCTTGAGCTTTCTTCATTGACTCTTTGCGTGCCAGCAAGGCAGCCTGGGCCTTTTTCTGTAGCGCCGCCTTTTCAAGCTTCATCTGTGCAAGCTCGTTTTCTAAATCAACAGCAGTAGCAGTGGAGAAAGATTTTTCCTCAAACTCATCTTTACATGTCTTGATTTCATTTTGAAGCTCTTCTAATTTCTGCATCCAGCCGTTTCGTTCTCGCTCAAATTCTTCTTCTCGGTCAGCAGCACTGGAGTGCAGCTGCTCGATGAGGGAGTTTTTCTCAGTCAGTGCTGACAATGTTTCTGACAAACAAACTTCTTTCTTATTTATTGTAGCTTGCAAAATTAGTTTGTCAGCCTGAAATTGTTCCACAAGTCTTTCCCTTTCTGTTTTGTGTTCAAGAATCTCTCTTTCTTTCTCGAGACTTTTCTTTTCAAGACGACAAACCTTTTCTTCATTTATTTCTGCAGCCGCTTGAGCCTGACTTGTTACCTCCTGCAGTTTATTCTGTAAAAGCGAGACCTCCGTTCTACTGTTTACACTCTCTTCTTTTTGGCTTTCATATTGCTCAATTTTTTTCAACAGATCCTTTCTTACGATGAGAGCGGCTTGAAGCTTCTTCTTTGTTGCATCTTTTTCTTTAGATGCCTTGGCTAGTTCACTCTTTAAATTGTCATTTTCTTTAACCAGCTCAAGCTTCTCTGCATTCTTGGTCTCAATTTCACTTTGAGAGCGTGAAACGTGTTCTTCTAACTGCTGAGAAATCTCCTCAAGCCTCTTCATGGAGGTTTTGTGTTCTTGCTCCATGCTTTCTAGTTGTGCTAGTAGAGAGGTGTTTTCCTCTCCAAGTTTCATTCTTTCATTGGAGGCAGATTCCATGACTTGGGCGATGGATGCATCTTTGTCCCTTAACTGCTGACTAAGTCCAGCAAGTAATTCCTTCTGCTGACTTATCTGAATGCTCATACAGTTGATTTGCTCATCTTTTGCCTGCGATTCACTGCGTAAAGAAGAGTGTTTGAAAGTAGCTTCTTTCACTTTCTCTAATTCAGCACTGAGCTGAGTCTGTAGATGCTCTACCATCTCTTGCAAAAGAGAAACTTGTTGACCCTTCTCATCATTACTCCTCTCTCCTTCATTAAGTGTTTTTTGTAACTGTGCAACAGTTTTATCCAACTCATCCTTCAAAGCATTTACCTCAGACTCATGACAGTCTTGTAATTGTTTTATCATGTCCCGTAAAGTAGCCTTATCTTTCTTTAGAGCTGCTGCTCTCTCAGGTGTGGTTGGTGGCGAGACAGAGGAATCATTGTCAGTACCATTTTTTCTTGCTATAAGTTTTTGTAACTCGTGTTCTGCAGCTTTTAGAGTCTGTTGCAAATTATTGTTGTCATTATCCTTTTGTTGGACAGATGCTAATACCTTCTCAAGTTGAATCCTGGATGCTGATGCCTCCGACTCTTTGGCGCTCAGCTGATCAGAACCCTGCCTAATTGCAGAGGAAGCCTCCGCTAGTTTCTCCTGCAAACTGTCCAAGTCTCGTTTTAAAGCCGTAACCTTAACATCTTTAGATTTCATTTCATTTTCAACACTTTTCAATTGTTCTGCAAGTAGATTCTTATCCTGTTTTTCTCTATCCAGAACTAACAGCCATTCTTTCTCAGAATCCTGCAGAATTTGCTCTATCTTTTGAACGTTTTCTTTTAATCGAGAAAGTTCTTCATCTTTGGCACTAACCTTTGCTTGAAGGCTCTCCTTCTCGGACATCATTTTCTCCTTTATTTCGTTCATGCTGCTGGACTGCTGCTCCATTTGAACCTGCAGCTCCCCCTGCGAGGACCATATTTGATGATGTCTCCTTTCCAGCTCTTTCTTCTCTGCAATAACTTTTCTAACTTCCTCTTGCAAATGTGTGTTTTCATTTCTGACAGCAGTAAGAAGCTTCTGGTGCTCTTCCTTTGACAAACTAAGATCCTTATTTAGTCTCTTATTTTGCTCCTCTAGTTTCTGCATTTCTGAAACCAGCTGAGACGCGTGTTTGGCCTGAGATGTGTACTGACTGTTAATTGCATGGAGAGCCATTTCTCTCTGCTCAAGGTTTTCTGTCAGTGCATTCATTTGTGCTACAACTTGAAGATGTTGTGATTTGAGTCTTTCTATTTCAACGGTCAGCAGTGACACGCTTGCTTGATGAGACGCAAAAGCTTCATCCTTTTCCTTTGACAAACTGGAGTTCAGGTCTTCGGTTTTCTCAAGTTTGCGATGGATCGCAGATAACTCATTTCTCAGTGTTTCTATAGTCGTCTTTGCTGTCTGATGTTCTTTATTGGTATCATCCAATAACTTCCGAAGGTTGGACACCTCATCAGTCCTTTGGGACAGATGCTTTCTCACTTCTTGTAACTCCTCCAAGTTAGTTGCATATTTCTCTTGTAGGTTGCTAAAGGCACTTTGCGTTTCCTCTGCTGACCTTTTGAGGTGTTCAGACTCAGTGGACAGTAAGTGAATTTGACTCTGTAGCTGTGACACCAACTCTGTGCTTTCCATGAACTGAGATTTGAAGAGCAAAGCCTCATCTGCTCTTCTCTGAATATCCTGAAGCGACTTTGATTGGTCCAAAAGAGCTGCATCTTTTTCTTCCGAGGCCCTTTTCAGATTTTCCACTTCAGATGCCTGTACTTGGAGGGTGTTGCTGAGCTTTGTGACCGATTCTTCAAGGTGTGAAACCTGCTCTTTCAAGCTCTCACACTCTGTCTCTTTGGCTTGTAGATTTGAACTGAGATTTTCAATGGTAGCTGAAGAATGACTTTGATATTCAAGACTTGACTGTTCTTTTTTCTCCAAAGTATTTTTCAGTGCGGAGGACTCCGAAGTCAGGCCGTCAACTTGGCCTCTGAGTTTACAGACAGAATCTTCAAGCTCTGAAAGTTTTGCACTTAAACTGGCATTGTCACCTGCTTTCTGTGTGAGCTGCTCCTCTTGCTCTGCAATCCTACTGTTGAGCTGCTGGATCAGATTCGCCTGCTGTTTCAGTGAATCATCTTTTCCTTGCATAGTCAAGTTAAGCCTTTCCTTCTCGGAGCATGCCGCTTTGAGAAGTGCGACTTCTTCGTGCGCTTTGGACAGCTCTGTCACGGTTTTCTGAAATTCAGATTTCAACCTTGTATTCTGCTCATTCAGTGCTTGAATGCTGTCTTTAAAATCCATGACCTCTGCTCTCCTCTGGTCCCCCTCCTGCATCAGCTGACTGTTTTCTGCAGTGAGCTTCTGCACAGCAGTCTTTAGGTTGGTAATTTCAACCTCCATCTCAGCAGCATTCTCATTCATGGCACCAAGCTGACTGCTGAGTGAAATCACTGATTCGTTTCGTTTATTCAGCTCATCTTTGTGGTTTTGAAACTCATTTGTTACTTCTTTTAATGTGTGTTCTTTTTGCTCTATCAGCTGTTTCGCCTCCAGGCACTCTTTCCTGAGTGACTCTACTTCACCCTGCATCTGTGAAATGAGGGATTTCTGTAGCGTGACTTCTTTCTGATAAACACTACACTCCTCTGCTTTCTGCTGACACACTGTGTCTTTCTCCATCAGCCCTGACTTGAGGGCAGATCCTTGTTCCTGAAGCATAGATACAGTATCCTGAAGTTGCAGCAGTTGTTTCTGCTGAGCTTCCAACTGTGAACTCTGTTCTGACATTGTTTGGTCTTTCTCATTCAAGGACATACTGAGTTGACCAACTTGCTCTTGTAGAGCTTGAAGTTGTTCTTCTCTCTCCCTTAACGTTTTTGACAGATGAGCACATTCACTTGTTTTCTCAAGCAAACCTGCAGAGTTTGACAGTTCACTTTCCTTCAGGATCTTTTTCAATTCGTCTGTTTCCATAGTAAGCGTCTCCTTTTCCTTCAACAGGCCGTCAAATGTTTTCTCATTTTCTGAGATTTGAATTTTCAGCCCAGAATTTTGTTCCTGGAGTAAACTCCTCTCTGTGGTTAGTTCAGAAACAGAGTTGATGTTCTGTGCTAACTGCTCTTGTAGTCTCTGATTAGCTTCTGTTAGGCTGCTAATCTTCACGCTTAAACTGGAGTTCTGTTCAAGAGTCGCTTTAAGCCGTCCATCAAGGTCAGATAGAGCCTGTGTTTGCTGAGCGAGCTCCTTTTCTCTTGATTCACAAGCAGCACGAAGTTGGTGGTTTTCCTCAGTCACAGTCTGGATGTGGCTGTTTAAGCTAGCCAACTCGGCTTGCCTCAGCTCTGCTGCAGACTTCAGCTTTCTGGCGTTTTCTTCCAGGACACCGATTTGGTCAGTCAGAGACTTCACAGCCTTGTTTGAATCATTCACTTTGTCTTTGTGGTTTTGACACTGTTGCTTCACATTTTTCAACATTTCTTCTCTCTCTTCAATTTGCTGGCGAAGTTGTAAGTGCTCCTTATTAAGTGATTCAGCTTCTGCTTGTAGCTCGGATATAATATTTTTCTGGTGTGTTACTTCATTCTGCAAACTTTGGTTCTCTTTTAAGACCGCATCCTTCTCCATCACCCCAGACTTCAGACTGCACTCCTGTTCTCGAAGCACAGACAGCGTTTCCCGAAGTTGCGTTTGCTGGTTTTGTTGGATCTCTATTTGTGCTCGAAGATCATCGACAGTCCGCTCTCTGTCTGCCAAGTCATGCTGGAGCTGGTCTACCTTACAGGTCAAGCTCTGCACTTGCTCCTGCAGTTGTGTCACCTTCTCCTCCCTCTCCCTGAGTAACTGGTGGAGATTACTACATTCATTTGTTTTTTCCAGCAGCATCTCTGAGTTTGAGTGTGTGCTTTGCTCAAGAATTCTGTTCAACTCATTAGCTCGAACCGTCAGTTCCTCTTTATCTTTTTGTAGCCCCTCAATTGTTGTGTTGTTTTGTGAATGCTGTGTTTCCAACATGGACACCTTGACTTGCAAAGAATCCTTCTCAACTGTAACTTCAGAAATTGTTTTTATGCTTTCAGCTACCTCCAGCTCAAGTCTCTCTTTCTCTTTTGTAAGGCAATGTACTTGATTCTCAAGACTGCAGTTAAGTTCAAGAGCGGACGAGACTTTTTCACTGAGTTGATGTACATTCTGCTTCTGTAGCTCAAGCTCCTCAGTCAGCACTTGAAGTTTTTCTTGCAGCTGCTTTTTCTCAGTGTTTATGTTTTTTAATAAGTTGTTGAGTTCGGAGATATTTTCAGATTTGATTTTAAGTTCATTGCTCAGTTTCTCATTTTCTGAATCCCGGACTTGCAATTCAGTGTTAAATTTCTGCCTCTCATCCTTGACCTCCTCATCAGTTGCCTTTAGTCGGCTTTCCAGTGAAGCTATGGTTTCCAGTTTCTCTTCCATCTCCTTCTTGATGTGCTCCTCACTTTGTACTTGCTCCTCTAATTGCTTGGTCAATGTCTGCATTTCATTATTGTATTTTTCCACCTGTGCCAGAAGTTTGTTCTCTTCATCCTTGAAAGATTTTAGTTCTTTTTCGTACGTCTGTTCTTTATCATTTAGCTGTTGCTCATTGCTGGCATTTTTGTCTTTGAGCTGCAAAACGAGTCCTTCTGACTCCTGAAGCTTTTGTGTGGATACCGTCAGCTGTTCCTTTAGTGAGGTGATATGTGGTCCACATTCAGAAAGATGATTACGATGGCTTACAATCTGTTTCTGGATCTCGCCTCGAAGGTCCTGAATAGTTTTCTTGTCCTCTTCAGCCTGCTTTATCAGATGTTCCACCTCCGCCGCTTTACACTCTCTTTCCTCTTTGGCCTTGACCAGCTCCATCTCAGTGTCCTTGAGGTTCTCGACCAGCTCTGTGATCTTGTTATCCAGGGCTTGCTGGTCTGAACTCTGGGAGTCTCTGATAATCATGGCCTCCCGCGTTGCCTTACTCAGGGCATTCTCTACATGAACCAGGTTCTCTTCTTTGACTTTGATCTCGTGCTTCAGCACTGCGACCTGTTCTGCATACTCGGCCATGCTGCCGGAGAGGGTTGAAATCTCCTTGTCCTTTTCCAGCAGGACATCTTTAAGACTATCAATTTCCCGCTCGCAGCTTTGAAGGTCATGAATGAGTTGGGCTCGTTCTTCCAAATAGGCGGTATTCAGTTTGTCCAGCTCCTCGTTTGTCTGATCAAGATCAGTTTGTAAAGTTTCTATGGTGACTTCCTGCTTTTGTGTCTGAAAATGAGGAGATGAAAAAACAATGATGAACCATCGAGTGAGGCAGGAGAACTTCTATCACTAGTGCAAACCGCTCATCGCAAAGAAAGAAATAAAGAAATGATGCTCACATTAAGAGAAACATTTATGAAAATACAAAGATAAATGTTCCAATTCATGAAAATCCCACCTTCTCCTTCAGCACACTCAGCTTCTGCGTGAGGTCGGCAACTTCTATTTTCAACTCAGAGCACTGTTTCTCTGAACTACTGCATTTCTTGGACACATTCTCAAGCTGCAAGAGAAAAAACAACAACATTCATTAAATTGCTGAATATTGCACCGTGACAAACAGAAACCAACAAAAGGAGTCAAAACTCTTACGGTGTGCTCAGTCTGAAGAAGCTTGTCCGACACCTCTTTGTACTGAATTTCTTTTTCACTCAAAGATTCTCTGAGGCTGGTGATGAGCTCAAGTTTCTCAGACGTCTTGGCCAACGTATTCTCCTTCTCGATGAGTGAGCTTTCCAGGCACTCCTGTGTGTTACTCAGTCTAAGATACACAATGATAACGGATCAAATAAACTCGGTTTTCTGCCAGCAGCACGTGCAGAGAAAACTGCTCACAGACACAATCAGGTAGATCTGGTCCTGTTTTGTCGCAGCTAAATGGTCTGTAGCATTGACAGGAATATTCAAGACAAATTGCATGATAAACCTTCTCACCTGCCTTGTATTGTGGCTTGTGAGCAAGTCTTACGTACATAATGAATGCACTAGGGATGCACCAAAATGAAAATTCTTGGCTGAACCGAATATAATGAAAAACTTTCCCGAATCCAGAATACTGGAAAAGAGTTTTTACATTTTTTATTTTGCCTTTTTTTCACCGCTGCATAAATTAAATAATCAAAATGTTCTTTTTCCTCAGTGTTTCCCACAGGACGTGGAGGAACTATGGTGGGGGGGGTCCGGGGCCCGAGAGGGTCCGGTAAAGTAAATTACATGAGTCTGTTTACTTTTAATGGACACATGTAATATGTTTTATACTTTCTGTGAATATAATCCAATAAAGATGCCAGATGGTGGCATCACAGGAAGGTTTCGGTGACCCAATGCTGCATTTTGTATTTTTTGTATTATAATAAAGGCTTATGCTGAAGAGTGGATCAATTTTGTAGGAGAAGAAGAAAAAACTGAATGACTGAGCTTCTCTGAACTTGACCAGACGATGAAGCTTTACCTCCATTAAAGTAAGATTCAAGTAAGTTTTTAACAGTACTTTTTTGTAATTGCTAAACACTTTATAGAAACCAGGATATGCAGGTGGATTTTACAGGTTAAAGAATTAGTATGTTATTACAAACAAATGTGTAGCTCGTACGTGCCGATATACTTCAACGTGATTAGAGGCAGTGATCGCTCCTGCTTTAATGAAGAGCTTACCCTTTGAGCTGTTCGTTGAGACTGCTAACCAGCAGCTGATGCTTCTCTGCATCTCTGCTCTGTTGACTTCGGACACTGGCAAGCTGGCTCTGTAGTTTCTCGGACTCATTCTGCGGTGGCAGAAAAAGAAAGATCAATATGCAAAGATTAAATTCTTAAAGCTGCTTAAAGATATTCTCACTGCACACAGACGTAGATGACAGCAGACGCGCTGGAGAACAGCATCAAACTGCACTTGTGATTAATTGTTACTACTGTTGTTATCATAGTCACCATCAGCATCGCTGACATTAGTAGATATTTATTTTCCCCATTCATGTGGTAATAATTAACCTCACCATTTTTGACAGTTACAAAGTGAAGCAGTGGAGTGTGATTTAGGACACCCAGTGAGTCTGCCACAGGACACTGCACGTATTTAAAATACTAACTGAAAAATGTGTCTGAGATTAAACAAGCACACCACACCATTAGCCGTCACCGCTCTCTAGCGCACACATACATGAGAGGCCCAACACACCTGAGAGACCCAAAATGGCTGCTCATCTTCATCTACATCAAACGTCACCTGTGTTAGAAGGGTTTGTTACAAAATCCTAGTCCTCGGGGGAAACATGCAATTCACGCATCGATTACTCCGTCGCTCATCAGTAGGCAAGTAGTGTGACACAATACTTAACAAAACATATACTGGTTTGACTTAACCCTGGGGCTACCTGTAATGTCTCTATGCGGGCCTGCAGCTGCAGTCGATCCTCCAGATCTTGACAGCGCTCCTCCAGGCTCAGTATCTGCTCCTGCAGTTGGTTCCGCTCCAGCTCCAGCTCCTCCACAACAGACCGCAAACCATCTGGAATCATCAGGAAAGACAAGAGGTAGTGAGGACGTGACAAGAACAAATAAAAGCCAGTAACAAATAAAGGCTACCGAGGGGAGGTGAAATTAACTGTACTGTTAGTTTCTACTGCACTGTTTTCATCAGTAGAACAACAGAGTCGTGTAATACTCCCCACTCTGCTGCTCCGAAAACTATTTTCATTCACTCATTAATTCTGCTGTTTTTACCAGGTGCTGTAAAATTCCCATCAATGAAACTCAACACTTCCTGCACTGATGTTTCAGATTAAAAGCCTTCCGGCGAAGACCTATTTGTTATTAATGTAGGGCTGTCACTTTTTGCTCAAAAGTGAACTTATCATTAAATAACCGATAAACAATTATCTTTCTACGATTTCAAAATTTACAGTAAATAAGGGCAAAAGGGCGGTGAGGGCGTCTGTCTGACCCTGTGCACGCCCTGTTGCCCTATCAGTAAACTGGGCTATTACTGCTGTCTTTGTTACAAAATGCCAAGCAGAACATCAAATCATCTGAGAAGTAATGTGAGGAAGTTTTTTGGACTGGTAAGGCTGTGTGCTGAATTTTAAAACTGCCTCAAAGTCACATTACTGTGACAACAAATCTGAATCTACCTGTGAACTTCTCAGCAGAAGCGTCGCAAATTTATGGAACCGCTTCTACAAAATAGTTTATGATAACACTATGCGGCTGCACTTGCATTCATTAAAATACATATGTACGTATTTATTCTCATGTTGCGACTTGACTTTTTAAAAATGTGACAGTCCTACTGTCCGGGACTTTGGGGGGGAAAGGTAGGTAAAGATCTATAGGAAAGGTGAATCAGGGGGGACTCATGATCACAGGCTACACGATCTGAGAGAAAACACATCTCTTATGAGCTAATTAAAAGGACATTCATTGGCAGATTCATTAACTAGAAGTGTGAAATGCAATTCTAGGATCAAGGTTTAGCTGCAAACAGCCAAAAAGTACATCAGTCAGTTTTACATTTAAAACAAAACTCCCACATCATAATTTATATTTTTGTTCTTAGTTTTGATGATTTTTTTTTTGATGATAGTGGCTGATGTATTTTTTTGGTTTGATGACAAGCAGCAGCTTAAAAAGACAACGAGACAGGATGAGAGGAAACGAAGAAAAAGATGCAGAACATGCAAACGATGAAAAAACAACACTTACCACAGATGGGGAGTGTCTTGCCTCCTACATTTACATGATCTCACAAAAATTCATTGCATTCAGTGGACTAAATCCAACAAACACTAGCCAGCTCAACCAGCATGCACGTGTCCAAAGAAAATACTGTAAACTGATGAAAAAGCAAACCAATGAATGTTGGGATTACACCAACTGTCCCAGTGTTATTTTAAACAAATGTGAGTTAAGTTTAAATTGAGCTACAGTGCGACTCATAGATCGTGATAATAGGTATTTCAATATTTAGCAGGTTAAATGAAAAAAAAAAAGAAGACAAAACCAACCGACAGCCACAATCCAACACAAACAAGTTTGGAGGGTTATGGTGAAAACAACAAAATATCAACCCAAAGACAACTCAAGGTTCCCAAAGTAATGAGCGGATGACCGTGTGCATGCTAGTGTAAACTGTCCAGCGGGTCTCACACCTGTGTCAGGAGTACTGTACTCGGGCCACCAACCTCCCATGTTCTCTCCCTCCATCGGGGTTGTGCTCTCAGAGGTGCTCCGCCGGTCCTGGAATGGGGCGTGTCCAACAAAATCCTCGAAATCCTCCTGCAAGTGGGATAAACGTAACTGAAGCAGGGCAAAGAGAATCTATAGAGCATCAGTTCCTTACAGGCAGATGATCGTGGTACTGAACTTCTCAACTCTCAAAAAGAAAGTGTATTTCCCAAAATACTAAACTATTCCTTTGATAAGAATAAGTGCCCAGTCCATATGAAAAAGCAGACCATCCGGTATCTTTTTGTTGCAATTATTGTGTTATATAAAATTGGCTTTTATTGTGTAGCTTCTCTGAAAGACTGCAATTCAATTAGCTACCTTTAATTAATGTAAGCTGCATTTCTGGTAGGAAAAGTGAAAACAATCGATGCAACATAGTATCGCGATATTTTCCGTGGCAATACTGTATCGATACACGGATGTCATGTGTCGATCTTTTATTATATAAATTGTACTTTTGGTCCAATAATAATGAAATCAATTGCTTTTTCAGTCCACGAGAAAAAGAGTTTTCATTTGGGAACAAAATTTTAAGTTGAAAAAAAGGTAATAAAATAATAATATCGTATTGTGACATAAGTATCGTGATAATATCGTATCGCAGGGCCTTTGGTGATTCCCACCCCTACTAATACACAATTGCTTCCTGTATGAGTAGAAATGATCTTCAGATTATTATTATCATTATTGTTTCAACTGAATAAACTTTGTAACTGCTTCCAAAATGTTACAGGTAAGTTTAAAATTACAATCGACACCCAGAAAGTGTTGACTATGAATCTTACTTCAGCACAGCAGGCAGAAGTACCTT